CTGACTCCAGGTCTCGTCGTCTATACGACCGCGCGCGATTCTTCCCTCGGGGACAAGTTCCGAATTGCTGCCTCCTTCGATCGTTCCTGTTATTTCATCTCCTCCCTCCCTGAAAAGATTCGCGACTCCGCGATGATTCGCGCCACTTGGGTGACTGGCCTGTGGTGTGCATGAAACACCCGCGGTACTACGCGGAAGGCGGCGCGGACTGAGTAGTCCCCAGAGTCGGCGCAGCGCGTGGGCCGATATAAAACATCACGGGATAGCAAAGGCCCCTTACTGCTTCGACTTGGTCTTGCGCTTCGCGGCCCAGGCCTGGCCGCGCCTCGCGCGCGGCGGCGCGGCGGCCGCCGGGATGGCGACGGGCACGGGCGTGGCGGCGCGGGGGAGGCCCGCGCCGAGCTGGCCGTGCTGGCCCGCGCCGAGCGCGAAGACGGCGCCGGCCTTGGTCACGGCGAGCGTGTGGCCGGCGTCGCCCGTCGCGTCGCCGCCGGCCGCGACCTCGACGACGCCGCGGCCGCAGAGGCCCGCGATGCGCGTCGGCGTCCAGACCTCGGCCGCGGTCTCGTCGGAACCGTCGGAGTCGTCGGACGCGTCGCTCGCGTCGTCGCCGCTCGAGGCGCCGTCCTCGCCGTCCGCGCCGTCGCTGTCGCCGTCGTCCTCGCCGTCGCCGTCGCTCTCGACGTCCTCGACGTCCTCGAGCTCCCCGAGCTGGCCGTCGGCGTTGGAGCCGAAGCCTAGGACGTCGCCGCCCTCGAGGAGGACGACGGAGTGGCTGCCGCCCGCGGCCGCGGCGACGACGACGGCGCCCGCCGGCAGGTCGACGCGCGCGGGCTCGAAGGCGTCGTCGTCGCCGCCGAGGCCGAGCTGGCCGTAGGAGTTGTCGCCGAAGGCGTAGAGGCTCCCGTCGGCGGCGACGGCGAGGGAGTGGTACTTGCCCGCGGCGACGGCCGCGACGGCGACGGCGACGGCGACGGGCTTCGGCGCGGGCTCCTCGGGCCACGCGGGCGGCCCGCGGCCGAGGCGGCCGGCGCCGGCGTGGCCCCAGCTGTACACCCGGCCGCCCGCCGTCGCCGCGAGGCTGTGGCAGGCGCCCGCGGCGACGTGGCGCGCGTCGGCGACGCACGGCAGACGACCGCGGGCGCCGGGTCGCGGTCCGGCCCGCGGCCGAGGCGGCCGTCGTCGCCGCAGCCGAGGCTCCAGACGCGCCCCGCGTCGTCGAGGCAGAGGGCGTGGGCGGCGCCCGCGGCGACCATGGCGACGCGGACGGCGCCGAGGCCCGCGACGGCCGCGAGCGACCCCGGCGAAAAGCCGCGGCCGCCGCCGTGGACGGCGCCGTCGTCCGTCAGCGCGAGGGAGAACCCCCAGCCCGCCGCCGCGGAGACGGCGCGGCCCGCGAGGCCGGGCAGGGCCCGCGGCGCGTGGCGCGCGCCCCGCCGCGGCGCGCCGAGCGGGTCGAAGCCGAAGCCGTAGACCGCGCCGTTGTCGACGACGAGCGAGTGGAGCGACGCCGCGACGCGGCCCGTGCGCAGGGCCGCGGCCCAGCTCCCGTCGAGGGCCGGCGGCCGCGCCGCCGGCGCCGCGCCGCGCCGCTTGAGCGCGGCGGCGAAGAGCTTCTCCGGGGCGACGCCGGCGCGCTCGAGGGCCGCGATCTGGTCCGCGACGTCCGGCGCCGCGTCGAGGAGCTCGCCGAGGCGCCGGATGGCCGTCTCGCGCAGCTCCGCGAGCATGGGCTCCTCCTTCTTTGACGCCTTGTGGCGCGGACTCGCTCGCCTCGGTCACGTCGGGCTGCTCCATCTGGAGCCAGAGCTGCTGCGACGCGTCGGCGCCCTTCTCCTGGCGCTACAACGACGAGTGCCAGGCGCTGGTCGACGACGACGACGACGACGACGACGACGACACGGCCACGCAGCCGCCGACGGTCACGCCGGAGGTCGAGTGGCGCCTCGGCGACGCGGGCGACAGCTGCGACGAGACGTGCGAGGACGACGGCCTCGCGTGCTCCGAGGACTACCTGGAAGACTCGAACGCGCAGCTCGACTTCATGGACGTGCTCGGGCCCCTCGGCCTCGGCTGCACGTCCGTCCGCGGCCCGAAGCCCAACTACGCGGCGCCCTACATGAACCACAAGGGCAAGTGTTTCATCAAATTGCAGGCGAGCACCTACTCGTGCTCCAAGTCGGGCTCGACGAAGCGCCGCGTCTGCGCGTGCTCGGTCCGCAAGCACGCGTCCAGCTCGGGCCGCTTCGTCGCCTCCGCGCGCGTGACGCCCGTCGGCGCGGGTCTCAGCTTCGTCGCCGTCCTTGCCCTCGGCGCCGTCGGCATGCGCGCCGCGAACCGCAAGCGCGCGCTCCTGCCGACGACCGTGACGACCGGCGACGGCGCCGAGGCCGCCGCGAATCCGCGCGCGCGGAAGCTCCGGAACCCGATGAAGAACCCGAAGCAGTTCGCGCCGAAGACGAACGCGTTCTCCGCGCCGGGCGCGCCCGCCTGCGGCGCCGGCGGCCAGCTCGAGCTCGAGTACACGACCAACTAGCGGCCGGCGCCCGCGCGCGGTCCGCCTCCCGTCGACGCCCCCACGGCTAAGATTATTATGAGGCGAACTCGCTCTTCGCAGAAACTAAGAACCCACTCAACCTCAACCTCAGGCATGCATCTTTCCCTCATCATCCAGCTTTCAACCACGCGCGAAGCTCGCATGGGCTTCCCGTGCATGCCAGGCTCTGCTGCTCGCCGCAGGCTCTGCTGTGCGCCGCAGGCTCTGCTGCGCGCCGGCTTCGACGCGACGACGACCAGATCGCTCCAACACGACAAGCACTTGCACTTGGGCCGATGCGAGGCGCTCGTCGTCTCCTCCACTTTTTTCCTGGCGCCGATCGCTTTTGTGGGGTTCGGCCGCACGTCCGCCGCTCTTGCGGCGCTCTCGATGCTCACGGCGTTCATCTCTGCCATTCACTGGCTCGACCCGGCGCACGGCGGTAAGTATAAAATCGATCGCGTGATGGCGCGAGCGAGCGGCGCCGTCTACACCGCCGTCGGCGTTTACGTGATGCCCCCGCGGTTCTCGGCGACGTACGGCGCTGCCGTCTGGATCTGCATGATGGCCTGCTACGGCGCATCCCGACGCCTCGGCGAGCGGAGCGATCGCTGCTGGGTCGCCGCGCACGGCCTATTCCACTTTTTCGTCGCCGTCGGCATGTGCGCGGTCATGGCACACTGCAGCCTAAGTTAAGTAATAAGTTACGTACTCGAGGAACTTCGCCTCATAATAATCTTAGCCGTGGGGGCGTCGACGGGAGGCGGACCGCGCGCGGGCGCCGGCCGCTAGTTGGTCGTGTACTCGAGCTCGAGCTGGCCGCCGGCGCCGCCGGCGGGCGCGCCCGGCGCGGAGAACGCGTTCGTCTTCGGCGCGAACTGCTTCGGGTTCCGGAGCTTCCGCGCGCGCGGATTCGCGGCGGCCTCGGCGCCGTCGCCGGTCGTCACGGTCGTCGGCAGGAGCGCGCGCTTGCGGTTCGCGGCGCGCATGCCGACGGCGCCGAGGGCGAGGACGGCGACGAAGCTGAGGCCCGCGCCGACGGGCGTCACGCGCGCGGAAGCGACGAAGCGGCCCGAGCTGGACGCGTGCTGC